TTTCTCTTAAATATTTTACATGTATATATATATATGCATTTCCCCCTGTATGTTCAAATCCCATTGGATTTTTTTATTAACAAGAGAAAAATTTGAGATGGGTATTTTAGGTGAAATACCCTATATCCCTTTGTAACTTGGGGATAGAATTTGACTTTTTTGTAATAGTCATTAGAAAGAAATTTACTATAATTCAGAAGAATGAGGTGCTGTTATAAGAGGATGTGGCAAGATGATAGCAAAAGATGAAACCAGTACTTTAATAGAGGCATCAATAACTTCCTGCCTCTCTAGTCTTCTTACCTAGTATCATAACACTTTAAAATGTCAGAGAGTGGGCGTCTTCCATGAAACCATTTGGATAAATACAAAAAATTCAGTTAATTAACTAATTTTTTAAAAAGTATTCAGTACTTTGACACAGTACACATTAAATACTTGAGCATTTGTTGGAGCTTGGATCTGGTTGGGTTGGGTCTGATTTCAGTGACATTGTGAAAAGCCTTGGCTGGTGACTCATTGCCGGACGAAGAAAGTCTGACTTGCCTCATTTTAGCAGTCTTTTAGACGGATGCCCTACAGTTACTGTTTTGTGAATGGTGTCCTTTGCAATTTTAGACAACAATATGATTTAAATCACCATTAGAGTTAAGCAAAAAAAAAAATTGTCTTCATTTAATAGGTTATTGTAGTTTAATTTCATTAAAATAACACAGAGCAATAATGTACAATAAAGTGCCTTTATTGATTCCAAATTAAAGAAAGCAGAAAACAAAAATCCTTTGCTTTATAAATAAAAGCCATTTATATATTCTCTTAGCTTAGTTCTCAATGTTCATACACCTAAAAGCAATTTAAACATTTAATTTCCCAAACCGTATGAGTTTTAAAAGTTCTTGATGTTTCAAAAGATTATTATATTGGTCCCCATGGTGAATATTTTAAATCTCAAGTATAATGCATTGTGATATTTAAAGCCTTTACCATTCTTTTTATATGTTTAAATATAATTTATTTGGGCATGCACTCTTTGAATAGGGCTGTGTTTCTCTTGTGCAAATTGGTTATCCTGTAAAGATTTGCTTTTTAAAGATCTTCCTCAAGCTGTATGACCAGAAAGAAAATGAAAAGTGAACAATTGAAAACATCCGTTACGTAGGGTGAGCATGCATTCCTGGTGTGCCTAGGCCAGTACTGGGTTAGGTCTCTTGTTCAGAGGAATAATTACCCTAATCACCCTCAGAGGTACTCAGGTTTAGATGGTAATTTATATGGTCACTCTGTGCATGTAGGGCATTTTCTTATAAACATGTTAAGACCCATTATCTGTGTTACATATTGTCATTTTTATTGTCTAAATATAATTTTTAATTGCATAAGATTTTTAAACATTTTCCCCTAAGAGTGTGAGATAACTTTGCAAGCTCCCATTTTCTTTTGAGACACTTAAAAATGTGCATAGAAGTTTCAGACCATAGATTATTATGCTTGGCACCAGGTTGCAGAGATGGCTTATATTTACCAATAAGTTCTCCTTAAACATCTCCTCTGATTCTGTGAGCATCGATTACTGAAAAAGGGAAATTTCTCATCTCATTTGAGTAGGTTTTGTTTAGTTGGCTCTTCTTCATGGCGCAGAGACCTCATGATATTTTGGTTGTTTAGTACTTTGCGATAAAAATGCTATTCTGTGCATAAGGATGAGAGTACTTTTAAGTATCTCAATTCTAAAAACCCAGTATTTAAGGAGATATTTTATTCTAATTGGTTTTTTTGATATATTGCAATTACTAAAAACAATTGATAGGCAAAATCAAACTTAGTTACATGTTCAGCTAAAATATGAACTGGTGGACAGTAATCTTGTCTTCAGTATTTTCCATAATTTCTGGAACATTTCTGAACATACAGTATAGTCTTTTAATGATTAGTTATTCCTTTATTGGTTAGAAATGAATAGGGATATTTTAAATGTATAATATGCATATCGTTTTCTTAATGTTTTTTATATTGTATTTAGTAATATGTTAAACTTCTTCCTTCGGGAGTCAGGTCGCTTGACCATTTAATAATTTATTATTGAAAATGTAGACTGAACTTGTATTTGTCATAATCTTCGCTTTAGAAATTATACCACTCTATGGAATGTCCAGTTACATCACCCGAGAGGACCAGTACAGCAAGCCTCCGCACAAGAAGCTGAAAGATCGCCAGATTGACCGGCAGAATCGCCTCAACAGCCCCCCTTCTTCTATCTACAAGAGCAGCTGCACGACCGTGTACAACGGCTACGGGAAGGGCCACGGTGGCGGCGGCGGTGGTGGTGGTGGCGGCGGTGGCGGTGGCGGCGGCGGCGGCAGCGGAGGCGGGCCCGGCGTTAAGAAGGCGGAGCGCAGAGCCAGAAGCAGTCCCAAGTCGAATGACTCAGACTTGCAAGGTAATGATCAATGACGTTGGCTGTAAAGAGTGAATGATCCAGACAGGGATGTCCTGAAAGAAACAGCTTTTGCCTAAGAAGGCTCTTTCGTGGCAGCTGGTCTTTATGCTAAGAATGATTGGGTAGACCTTCTCTTATCTATTTCTCAGCCAGGACAGACTATTGTATCATCTCCTTTTTTATTAATACTTCATGGCAAAATATTATTTCTTTGGTCACGTGCTGTTGTAACATTGTACTTAATCTCAGTAACAAGTGTCAGAAAGTGTTTTCATGTTAGCTACTTCTGTTGTTTCTGTCTACATAGAAGGATGTGGAAGGGATCCAAATTAAAACAATTAATCTGTCTAAGAAGTGTAGGACTAGTTCAAATCTGAAAATCATTATACCTCATTAGATGAGATGTAATTACTACCGCACGGTTGTGAAATTTATCATGGTGTAAGGGAATATATTTGTTTCCCTCTTCAGTTACTGTTCAATGCCACCGTTGGCAATTTGGATGACGCCTTCATAGACCAAGAATAAGGAGGAATTAGGGTCACTGCATGTGGATGGAGAGACATCAGCTCAAAGGGGCATGGTTTTTTTGTAGCTTAATCTTGTGGCTGAAGATCAGTTAATTTGGGGAAGAAAGTATGTGTTTTAAGTGAAGTTTTTAGGTAAGATTTAGAGCACCCTGTTCTGATGCCATAGGAGGTAAAAACAGAAGCTTTTTATATCGAAGACTGACTTAAGGAAGCAAAAGAAGGTGCATTTTGATAAACTAGGTGCATTTACAAAGATAAATAAACACAAAGACATGTAAAAGACAAGGTGTGAACTGATTATATCGCTATTAAATAGTCCTTCCTTATTGGCCCTCACCCAGGTAGAAGCAGGGACTTTGTGTGTGTGAGAATGTGTTTGTGAATGAAAAAGACTGAATTTGTGTATGGCTGATTGTGTAGGGAAGACTGGCCTCTGTGAGGGCAGAGGAAAATTAGGTAAAGCCAGGCATTGGCGTCAACATTTCCCTCCCTGTTATTCATATGAGTGAACTGTAGCATAAAGAGGAATAGTAAGGCACAGGGAAAAGTGAACAGTGATTTCTCTGAGTGAAACGTATTACAGGTTCTTTTAATTTTGTTCTTTATTCTTTTCTGTTTTTCAAATTCTATGTAGTCATCATGCATTTTCTTGGAAGTATTAAACAAAACATAAACAAATGTATAAGAGAGACCCAAGATTTAAGAGGCTTTCAGACAGTTCTTAATGGAAAGTGCTCTGTCTGCCATATAAGATAGTTTTTAGTCAAATGATACTATAATTTTTAATAAATAATATTTCTATAAATTTATTATTATAAATATAATAAATATAAACTAATATAGCAATGAATAACAAATGTTATATAAATTTATTATCTAAAATAAGTGTAATAGATATAAATGTAAATAAATATAAGTATATATAAATTTATTGTTTATAAATAATAATGCTATGATTTCTAAGTTTGAAGTGTTACAGTTTTACATCATGAACATTTAAGAGAATTCACACACACACAAAATTAGAAGTGAGGTTTCCTAAGTAGACTATTAGGCCATAGATAAGAGAAAAAAAAATGTATAAGCTCTCAACGGAGAGCTTATAAGGTTTGAACTACTTTGATTACTTGATTCATTCTTTTGCCCTGCCTTGCATCAAAAAAGATTTAAGGCAGATGACATAAATATGTATCATAGAGGCAGATAAAATAAATTTGACTAGTATCTAAGGGGCAGAGAGAAAGTAAGAGAAGAATGAGATGAAGCAGGGTTGAAGGTAGCATACACAGTTAATGTAGTTATGAGTTAACTATGGTGAAAGTAAATACATTCCTTAATATGCAGGTATTTCATATCACATACACCTGAATGTGTAAGCTGCTCTATATTTTAATATTCTCAATAAGCTGTCAGAGGAAATGGATTTCCATTGAAATCTGTACTGAAATATTTGCTAGTGTACATACGTTGACAAACATTTTGGCATTTTATGTTCTGACAGAGAGTCTAATTATTCTGAGCACCTTAAGCTCTTTACTTTTGTGTAGAAAACATGTAACTAAGGTGGTAACAGTGAGACCGCTTTTGCTGTGGGCTTCTGGGAGCGTGTGCTTCACAATGAAAAGAGTTAGAAAATATTTTTATCACACCTTCAGTTCGAAATTGCTCTCTTGTTCTTTTTCTCATCACCTTTCTTGCCTCCTCAACATCATTCCAAGTGCTGCTCTCCACGTGTTTAGCTACGATGTAAAGAATCAGATGGAGGATTATTTTACACACTCTAGCTCATTCCAGTAAGAATCCGAGAGGGTTTTACATGTTGAGTAAAAAATAAGTATCCATTTTCCCAAGTGAACTGAAAATGTACATCCTGACAAAAACCTGCACACAGCTGTTCATAGCAGCTTTGTTTATAATTGCCAAAACTTGGAAGTAACCAAGATGTCCTTGAGTAAGAGAAGTGGGTAAGTACACTGGTACATCCAGTCATGGAGTATTACTCAGTGCTAAAAAGAAATGAGCTGTCTAGCTGTGGAAAGGCAAAGAGACACCTTAAATGCGTGTTCCTAGGTGAAACAAGGCAGTCTGAAGAGGTGCATATATGCTCCAGCTATCTGATAGGAAAAGACAAAACTGTGGAGACGGTAGAAATATCCGTAGTTGCCAGGGTTGGGGGAGGGAAGGGTGAATAGTCAGAGCACAGAGGATTTTTAGGGCAGTGACACTACTCTGTGATACTGTAGTGGTGGGCACATCTGTCAAAACCTCCACGATGTACAAGACCAAGACTTACACATACCCAAACATGAACCACAGACTTGGGGGATGGTGATGTCAGTGTAGGTTCATCAGTCGTAACCAGCACATCACTCATGTGGTAGGTGGGGCAGGCTTTGTGTTTGTTGGGGCGGGTATATGTCAGCATTGTCTGCATCTGCTCAGTTTTGCTGTGAAACTAAAAGTGCTCTCAGAAGTCGTCTATTAAAAAAATACATATCTAAGGAAATTGAGGATGAATAATATGAAGACATGAGTAAGGTTGTACGTAAAAGAATCCTGTAGAATTGCTTGATGTAGGCATGTATTTGGCTTTGAGCCTCCAGGTTGCCAAAGCAAGGAAGAAAACATGAATCAGGTGGAGTAGGTGAACAAAAGCACCTCTTGTTCATGGAGTCCATTCTGTCGGTCATAATGTTTCAACCCCGTCTGCCTCAGAATGTGGTTGCTGGCTCAAAGGACCCTAAGGGCTGCTTCTCCCTTCTCGTAAGTGGGGGCATTCTCCCAGTGTATCTTTTTCCTTGAATTTACTGCAGCTGACTCATATATCCAAGAAATAAGTCTCTCAAATAATTCTTAAGTTTACAGTGCCATCTGATTAATATTAAACTGGAGTTAATACTAGTATGATTGACCTGTTTACGTTTATATGTGGTTTGTGCAAGATTAGGATACATACCTAACCATGATGTGTGGCTTGTGGTATTCTGCAGTCTACTTAAGTTAAGATGCCCACTCTTCCAGAGAAGAACCTTTTTCCCGTGGAATTCCCTAGCTTTTGAGGGAATCTACTTCCGTTACTTACCCCCTTTTTACCACATAGAAAATAAAATCTGTGGAAAAAAAGAAAAGAGGGGCAAACTTCAAATTTGTACCTGGTCTTGTAACAAAGAAGCAACAACTTACGTTAATCCAAACAAATAAACATATTAAAAAGATAGAGATAAGTTAATGACTTGCTTGCATCCTGGTTCTCTTGGTTGACTGTACTTTAGGAACACTGGTGGAACTTCAAAAACATGCAGATCCCTAAACCTCATTTCCAACCTGCTAAACCCAGAATCTCTTCACTTGATCTGACTTCATGTCTTCTGTCAAAACTCCGCTAAGAGTAGTGGCCAGCCAAGATGGAGAACTATTGTTATAATACGAAAGGTGTGGTCACTAGGTTGGACATGACGTGAGGCAGGAACTTTTTAATTCACCGCTCTCCCCAACTCCTAAAATTGTCTGTGGCACATAGTAGGTACTTAGTAAATATTTGTGGAATGAAACCTGTCTTCCTAACTGCTTTGTCTTCTAGAACATGTCTTCTTTTGAACACATGTAGCTATCCTGCCGTTCCCTCTTCCAAGAACAAATTGTTTGCACTGCTCTAGGATAGTGCTTTGCAGCCAACTCCTCTCATTTACTGGTACCTTCAGGAAAGTGGCTTAGTCAGGACAAAGTCCCACAGTACCCTTAGGGAAATGTAGGATTCCTGTTTCCTTGCACACCTTGGAGTCGGTGGTGTGATGTGGGCAGAGGACTGCTGGGCTTTAGTATCAGACATAGTGGACTTAGAATCGGGTATGGTCACTTGCTTTTAGTAGTCCCTGAATCTCTATACCCTCATCTGTAAAATGGGTATTTTAATTTCCGTTATAAAATATTTAAAGTAGCCTAACTCGGTTCTTAACATCTCAGTATAATGGTCACCCTTGTTACTTGAATATTCTTATCTCCCTCTTGTAATCTTAGGATCAGCTCTCAAGATACACCCCCTTCTCAAAACAGGTATCTTCCTACTCCTCGCACTCCCCCCACTGCAAGTCCTTCCCCTGTAAGTAGCTTACTTCTGCTTAAACCCATCTTCATTTTGAAAGCTAAACTCTGCAGTCCTGGACCTCTGCCTCTGAAAGTCGCATCTTGGCTCTCAGAAATTGCACTGGGATAGAAATGAGCCACCTGCCCCAAGATGCCGGGTTTCACACAACCCATCGCCTCATTAGGGACCCTGAAAGTTCTGAGTGAGCTAGAACTCTGGATCCCCTCTTGGGGCATCCTTGATCATGGACCGTGTCTTTGGCATCTCCTCATACATACATTTCTTAGAAACCTCAGTGTGAGAGAGACCACCCTATGTTTTAAGATACGTGATTGTCCATCTTCCTCTCCATCCCATCCTCTATGGTATGGCTGAGGCTGCATCAC